CCTTAAAGCTGTAGGGTGAACCATAAAACTCACAGGGCTGTGTACACACACTACTTCTGTCAAGACACAGTGCTCTTTCTGCAACCATGCTGTGCCATGTGAGACCTCATATGCCACCAGAAAATACACCAGCTTCAACTTTAGGATTATCCTGAGTATGTGACTTTATGGTGAATACCACTTACTGAATACTGCTTGTATGTCTCAGAACCATTCAGCCTGTATTAATGGACAAACATCGCTGTCCTGACAGGGGAGAAGAGTTTATCTACTGTCTAAGGAAAATGAATTGGACAGCTTAAAGATGGTGACTGAAGCAGAGTCTAGAAGAGATTTTGATAGAAAATGTATGTCATCAGATTGGAAATGACTATAGCAGTGTCACACAAAAAACTTGTTGTAGCACAATTTTGATCAGTATTGTCCACTCACTCCTTGTTTCAAATTTTACAGTTGTACTACCTTCTCTCTACTTTTAAAAATTGTTATTTACAATCACAGTTCTGGGACAAGGAAATAAAACTACGAGACTTGTATTTCCTACACAGGAAACAGGTTGTGTAAGCATGCACACTCACATACCCTTGCCTTTTATATACGTGTACTGCTACTGTAGAACCATCAGTTGCATGAAAGTGTGTGTGTGTGTGTGTTCTTAAGTGTGAAAGCTGTAGACCAAATGAAGGGTTTGTGATTGTCTAACATCAGACCATCAGTGACACCATGAGCAACATCAAGTGACTGGTTGGATGTCAGTAAGGAAGAATTCCCTGTACAAAAACAAGAGGAAATATTAGGGAGTGTCTTCAAGAGTAGCAGCTTAGCGTGACAGTGAAACTGAGAAATAAGAACAGGGAGTGAGATACTAATCTTTCATCTGTGTTTCCAAAAATGTCAAGTATATTTTAAGGGACTGTCTCATTATATTTGATCAGGGATCACACAGCCAGATTGTCTGTGACACATCTGCACTGTCTGTCAGAGCAGTGCTCCTTGAAAGGTAGCTGAGAGCTAGACCTCTTCTGCTTTACCATGTGACCTGAGGTTTAAAAGCTATAGAAGCCTCCTCTGCTTCGCTCTCACA